GTTAATCTTCCAGGGACTGCCAAGGGAGCAACAATTGTTGATATTTCAGAAGAGCATCGTTCATGAAAATATCTATAACATAGAACCAGATAGCCAACTTTTCTACGGTGTTCCAGAGAAATGAGTGAGTTTGTGAGCGAGGCATGACACACGATACAAATTGCCCTTTTTTGAACAGAATCCAACAGTTTCAGGGTATGTTCGGATACTGCACTCTAAATATGGAGGTCAGATCTGTACCTTGCAGATCATGAGCAACTAATTGGAAGTTGAATAGCTCCTGGCCCGAAACAGTAAACCAAGTTTTTGGGATGCACTGTTGGCATTTGATCTCACGTGATTTTCTCAAGAAAGGTTATTGCTGATAGTAATAAAAAGCATGGATGTGTTCAGAGGTATGGTTACTCCTGATAAGGCTATGTTGGGCACAGTGATATCGGCTTTTCTAGAGGAAAAAGGCATGCTTGTGTTTTGTTCGCATCGCAATCTACCAACTTATTGGATCCCCATTCGGGAATTTTCACCAAATCCATATCAAAGTTGTCAACATTTCTTCCTCGTTTGTTTCTGACTTGCCTGACTGGTATTGGATCCCTGGAAGAGAAGGCGGTATGGAGGATACTATCATCCGTGGAGCTGTGTACTGGACATAAAGTTGCTTTAAACAAATCGTTGATATGGAGTAGATATAATGTTGGTGCTAAAATTGATCCTTGCGGGACACCAGCATTCATGATGAGAAATTCAGATGAAACTCTGTCGTCCACTACATGGAGAGACCTGTTTGAGAGGAAATTAGCTAGCAGAAAAAATAGCTGGGGAGGCAAGCCATAAGATGGAAGCTTGGCGAGGAGTCCGTGGTGCCCGACTCGATCGAATGCCTTGGAGATATCAAGTGCCACGGCTAAGGTTTCACCATATTCTTTGATAGATTGCTGCCATAAAATATGTGAGACGGAAGCCATATTGCCTATCGTTGATAATACCTCAATTTTCCAGGTATTTCATGAGCTCGGTGTTGATAGCTTTCTTCATGATCTTTGAAATGATAGATAGCAGTGCGATCGGTCTGTAGTCGCTAAGTAGGGTCTTCTTGCCTTTTTTAGGAACTGGTTGTACTCTTGCAATTTTCCAGTTGAACGGGAATATCCCCAATTTGTGAGAATAGTTGAACAACCTGCAGAGAACTGGAGTTAGTTCGGGAGCACATTTCTTGAGAACAATCGGTGGGATTCCGTCGGAACCACAAGCTTTGTTGGTATTGAGAACCAATAGAATCTGTCTTATAGTACGTTGGCGAAAAGTGATCTCGGGCATATAACTGTCAATTGGCGTAATGTTTTGAGGTTATTTTCCAAAATGAATCCAGAGTGGAATTTTCAGCGCAAAAATGTTGGCTCTTTCTGGGGCAGTTGTGTTTAGTGTTCAATCTTCCTTGGTTAGAGGAGGAAACGAGCTGGAAGTGAAGTTTCTTCCTACAGCTTCGGAGAAGGACCAAAATGAACGGGATCCGTCAGGACATTTAACAAGTTTCGACCTTATTTTGGCATTATGAGCATCCTTTGATGATCGAATTGTCTCATGGCATATGCCTCTAGCCTCGACATAGTCTGCTCTAGTCTCAGGGCCTGAATTTTTCTGCCATGGATGGAATGCGGCCTGTTTGAAAGCGACAGCTCTAGATCAGTTTCTACTGAACCAGGCCTCATAGGAAGAGGTTCTCCTTGCAGTGTTCGGTATGTAGATTTGCATTCCCAACATATCCCAACATGATGATTTCAGAAATTGTCTCAGCACATCGTGTTGAAACTGCTGAGGAGACACAAACTCTCTTTCATGGAAACGCTGAAAAAAACATACGAAGACCTTCCCAATCGGCCGAAGTGTAATGCCACATGAGACGGGTTGGAATATTGTGGTGCTGCATGGTACATGGAAAGAGCAGGTTGTGGAGATGAGGGTGTGGTCAGAGTTTCCAAGTGGGGGACAAACTTCTATTCTATATGGATCTGGATTGCTGGTGAGAAAATGATCTAGTGTATTGTCAGACTGGTTGTTGACATCTGGAATGCGGGTTGGTAGTTCGACTAGTTGTTCTAGACCATGAATGATGTCGAAGGCCTCAGTTTGACGACCTGCTTCATCTATTTTGTTATAGAAAATTTGAGACAGGCTGCGTTGTGTACTTTGAAGTTTTTCATGATTATGATTTCAGCATTGGATGGTTCTCCTGATTTAAGTCCAGTTTGAGTGATGAAAACTCAAAGAGGTTGTTATATTTATTATCATTAGGCTATAGGTAATAAATTAAAACGTTGACGAACACATATATGTGTCTGGACAAACTAAGGCGCATTGTTGTTTTGCCAAATTTGAACTAATATTATGCCCAGGAAAGATGTGACGCATCAAGCACAGTATATGGCAACAACGCATCCTTCGGGAATGTTTAGACACTGTGGGAATATGGAAATGTGGGAGCAAGGCGATGTGGGAGTAACGAAATGTGGATGTAACGATACGCTCCCATGTAATTAACTAGAAGTAGTAAAAGAGGAAGTCAGCTAAAGTGCATAACGTTAGTTATAAATTCATTAAATTGAGCCATCTCTTACAGAAACAATGAAATATCCTTGTCATTAGCAACTAGATTTATAGAGGTGGCCTTGAAACACATTTGATGAAGACGCTTCAGTACATAATGCGGGGAGTTTGTTATTATTACAGCAATATAACCCCACAGTTCGATCCCATTTAACAATGTGGGCTAATATCAAGTTGGGAATGTGAACGAATGGATTGCCTAATGCATAATATCTAATAATAATTAGACGTACGATATTATGAAACCCAAATCTATGTGATTATAGTAGACCAATCAAATGGCGGATATTGCTAATGCAAATTCATGTACCTATAATATTCTATCTTTGTTATACGGAGTGTTCAAATTCCGATAGTAGAAGTATTATTGAGTCAATCTGAATCCTTATTGATACACTGTTTTGAGTAAAAACGACACAACCAAAATCGACTTTTCATCGCATGTGAGTGTACATGAGTCAAATATTGTATGATCAGATAACTGACACACAAAGAAAAACAATTGCTCAAATGGAGTACGCAATATCTATGTATTTTTGCAATACACTTACTTATTATGATTCGAATTCGTCTCGAAACTCAAAAAATATTATGAGGTTCTTGATTGAAATATTTGGGTTTATCTATTCAGAACTGGGTAATATTTCATGTTTTTTCAAGAATCAATTTTGAAGAATGTGGCAGTTAACCTAGCGATATGACGAGAGGATGATATGAAATATTAAATCCTAGATATTAAAAGAAGTACTGATTATGTTTAATAGGCACAATCATTCATAATCTTTATGGGGTCTGCAATCATGAATGACACAGTTATTTGTGATTTCGTCAATTTTATTGTTGGACCAAATAGAAGTACTTATACGTGTTTGAATAGAGGATATATGATTTACAATTATGCGTCAAGCAGTCAAAGATAAGCAAAAAACTATCGAATTTGAAAAATATCGAATTCATTCGTCAAGAAGTGAATATTTATTTCTGTCTGTCTGTGTTCCTCTGTTTGTCTCTCTATATATCTGTTTGTCTTTCTGTCTGTCTTGATGTCTGAATGAGCTTTCTCAAATAACACATACTCATAGATAAACCCAGAGATTTTGATCCGAACCTTTCCTATTCAGTTATTTCAATCGATCACTTTTCTTTTAATCACTTTCAAACCATTCAATGATAATAATAATAATAATATTTATTGATCCTGTAGGACATTTTTACAATGTATAGGATAAGTCAGAAAGAAAGAGACACTTGGCCATAAAATCAGTCACTATACTGGATTTGGATCTAACATTATATGTCTCTGTCAGAGAAGTACTCCTGAATACTGTAATAAAATTTTCTCAACAGTAGGTCTTTTACAGATTTTTTGAAGAGGTTATCTTTGAGAAGTTTGCGGCTACTTGCAAGTTGATTATACATTTTGATTCCCATATATGAAATGCAATTTTCAAATTTGTTGGTTTTGTGTTCAGGGATAGATAAAAAGTCAGAATGTCTGGTTTCGTAATTATGTAATGATGACTTTTCGGTATATTTGGATTAATTTTCTCTCACATACAGTAGGCTTCTGTATATGTAGATGCATGGAAAATACATGAGGTTATGTTTGATAAAGACCCACTTGCAAGAATCATGAGGATGCATGTTGAAAATATTCCTTATGATTTTTTTTGGGCATCAAATAATTTCTGCCTATCTATAAACTGACCCCATTAGACAATGTTATAGGTGAGATTGCCGTATACGAGACTGTAATAGAGATTCAATAAGGCATTTGTGGGCAAAGAATGTTGAAGCTAAGACGGAAAATTATTATTGAATATTCAAGTTGGATAAACCACAATCTGTCAATTTTAATATTGAATTCAGTTTGGAGAAGTGAGTATCAGAGGATATAAATCGGTCACAAAAATGTAAACATTCCTTATTTAGATGAGAACATGGTGAGCAATACTTTGTCCTGATGCCTTATTTTCGTCAATAAATACATCAACCTGGTGCTATTTATGTTTTATAGAAAAATGAAGATTATAGAAGGATCCATGATATGTTTCACAAATTATAATTAAGTTTGGGAAGATGCTGATGAACCCTCCATAAAAAATTAACCAAAAGGTACCTGAATCATCAAAAATATAATGACATTTGAAGACAAAAATCAGCAACTGCCCATTTAACAATAATTGAATGAAGATTGAATTCCACCTACAAAATTATTTCTCATTGTATATAGTGAGGAGCCCAAGTGATCTGAAAATGTATTGAAAATTGGGAAGACTCATCAAGAAAAACCTTTTTTTGAACCAAAAATTCGTCTTCCTTTTCTGTCAAACCTGAATTCTGAGGAAAATGCACCTGTTATGATTTGAGAAATTATTGTTAAATCAGCTACTAACCTTCGTTTTTCCGCTCATGATGTTGGTATTCCAGTTTTTTACCTTAATCTAACACATAACACCTAGAAGTGTCACAATTCGGTGTATTCAGCCTTATGATTTACTCCCACTCATTATTTCAGCGAAGTTTCTCAGGTGAGGAGAGGGACAAAGCTCAGTGGCGTCCAATATGATTTTTCAGGGGTCAACCCCTTTTGAGCATCAACTGAACTACTCAACACTAATTTCGTCGCACACCAAAATGTCGCTTCTGTTATAATGTGAATAACTTTTTTCAGTTTAGAACAATTTGAATTTGGTTCACACTGTTCGATAGCCCAGTCCTTCAGCTATAATCTCGTACTTCATTGAAACATAAAGGTATTTACATAAAATCTCTACATGGTGTTTTCCGACACTGTGCGAAATTTCGGAATATTCCAAGGGCTCTCAAATGGTGAAAAAAATTTTTCTCTCAACTTCGACAACAGAGGCATGAAGATGATCTCATTACCTCGAGATATTCCGCGAATCAACTTCCTATCTCTCCTATTTACAGGGTGATCTCAAAAAATCAACTTTTTGGTTTTGCAGCCATAACTTTTTTTTACGTCAACCAATTTTGGAAATCTTAGGCTCATTTTGAAGATGAAACTTCAGATGAAGAGATCTGAATATCAGAATTGACTCAAGATGGCTATCAAAGATCTAGAGTTTTCTTGAAAGTGACCCAAATCTGAAACGCCCTTCGAATCTTGGTTGGGAGGAGAATTGAATGAAAATCAACTTGTTCTCGGAAAAACAATTCATTTTGGATGCGTCCATATTTTCCTCGCTCTCAGTAGTCAAGAATTGTGCGTGAGAAAACACAATTGAAACATGTTCTTGCAAAAACATTAGATCGTTTCTACTCTGTAATGCATGGCCCGCCATAACCAACGTTACAAGAAGCACAATGAGTGACTGACAAACCCGACCAGCTGGGACTCATCATAAACAGTTTGCCTATTACGTTAAGTTTTCAGTCGCAATAATGCGTCGAACGAATCGACAGTAATAAACAAAAAATTCGTGTCGGAGATAAGCCCTTTGAATGGATCGGACTGTCGTGTTTAGCAGATTCGCGATTTGGAGGGAAGATAACCCTTGTTCCCTCATTTGTGGAATCAGTTCCAACTGGTCGGTCGTTAGATGCGGCATCGAAACTATCAAAATCTGTTTATGATTCGAAAACGACGTCTAACCTGACTTGTCAGTCACTTACTGTGATTCTTGTAACCTTGGTTAAGGGCCATACATTACAGAGGAGAAATGGTCTGATGTTTTTGCAAGAACATGTTTCAATTGTGTTTTCTCACGCACATTCTTGAGTACTGAGAGCGAGGAAAATATGGACGCATCCAGAATGAATTGTTTTTCCGAGAACAAGTTGATTTTCATTCAATTCTCCTCCCAACCGAGATTCGGGGGGCGCTCCAGATTTGGGTCACTTTCAAGAAAACTCTAGATCTTTGATAGCCATCTTGAGTCAATTCTGATATCCAGATCTCTTCATCTGAAGTTTTATCTTCAAATAGAGCCTAAGATTTCCAAAATCGGTTGACGTGGAAAAAAGTTATAACTGCAAAACCAAAAAGTCGATTTTTTGAGATCACTCTGTATATAAGAGAGATAGGAAGTTGATTAGCGAAATATCTCGAGGTAATGGGATCATTTTCATGCCACTGTTGTCGAAGTTGCGAAAAATTTTTTTTTCACCATTTGAGCCTTTTGAATATTCCGAAATTTTGCACAATGTCGGAGAACACCATGTACAGATTTTTTGTGAATACTCTCATGTTTCAATGAAGTACCAGATTATAGCTGAAGGACTGGGCTATCGAACAGTGTGAACCAAATTCAAATTGTTTTAAACTGAAAAAAGTAATTCACATGATATCAGGGGCGACATTTTGGTGTGCGACGAAATTAGTGTTGAGTTGTTTATAATGATACTTATTAGAAAAGTCTGATCAGATTTTTTATTGAATTTATTCAGAACGAGAGCATGTGGTGTTGAACGAAATTCTTTCACAATAGCAATTCATATACAGAGTGCTTCTCAGAAGTGAGGAGTAATGTCTAAATCGGTCTAAATACCTATAAAATTGAATTTGAGAAAAAATGCTGCAACCCAACAATTTTTCGATGAGGTTCCATCGATGGTATAATAATGTATACCGGCTGTTTCTCAAAAGTGGCTCACCCCTATGACTTTTTTGTTTCTATAAATAAACAAATGGAAATCAGTGTATGAGTGTCTTCGTTGAACAAGAATGTATTCAAATGTGCCTGTTTCTCTGAAACCCTTCATAGAAATCGAATAAAATTTTTCAGATGGTAGTACGAAACGATATGAAGAACAATAATATAAGGTTAGTTTTCCTGTGAAAACATTCCTTACATGATTTCATGAAAATTCGGTACCTTTTTATATCAATAAATATGTACGGCCTCGTGCACGGCACTATCCTAAATGATACGTGTCTTTAAAAAACTGATTATAGTGATTTATACCTGCCCGAATTTGGTAAGAATCGCTAAAACAATAGCTGAAATATAAAGGGGGTGGGCGTATAAAATAAAACACGCTGTATATATAAATTAATAGATGATTTTACACTTTTTTAGATTTATGAACAAATAAATATTTCCCTGTATATCTTCCATCATAAAATACGAAAACTTACTGATTTATAATGTTTGGAAGACTATGTAGCAATATTTATTTAGTCAAACTGCATTTGGAAATGTTGCTTCATGAAAGAAAAAAATGCACAATGTGACTGCATTAGGAATAAAATAAAATTGCACCAAAATCAAACATCAGATATAATTCTCATTATAAGAACGATGAAATGATCTATATAATATAACTTATACCAATACTAATATTAAAAACTGTTGAAAATGCACGAAAAAGTTTTCCAGAATTCGATATAATTTGTAATTCTTATATAGATATTTAGAAAAATATTCGATGATGCTATCATTTTTAATTGTGATTACATTTAAATAGATGATAATTTCTGTCGGGAACCCACAAGAAAACCTTGTTACGCCTATGCATATATATTATATATTTAAGCCTCCAGACGTATAATATATAGTTCATAAATACCTGTGGGTAATTCACCTCTTTTATTATCTTTCCGCCACCAATATCACTTTTATAAATTTTTTGTTATTAATTTAAGATTCAATATTTTGAAGATAGGTTGATTTCTATCAGAAGAAAAAATTCCATAGTATGATCAAACAATTGTTTCGAAATAGTAATTTCCCCAAAAAGTGCGGTATTGATTCTTTCCCGCACGCGACTGCAGTTGACACGAACAACGCGAAGCGGAGTTCGGGCAAGCAGTCGGGGAAAGACACTTTCCGCATGAGTTATAGTAGAGTGCCAAACGAACCGTAAGTCGCTTAGATCAAAAGTTGGTGGGAAATCGGAGGTAAAAAGCTGTGACATGGCTAGAATTGTTACCTACCATCTCCAGATCATGGATCCACTTGTCGTCAAAAAATCGTCCTGTGCGTTTGGGGGGTAGGGGGTAATTTATAAAAAAATATGGATTTTTTTTTTATTCGTGGAAAATATTGATGGGTTCCAGAACTTCCACCCTGTCGAATCTTGATTTCGTGTGACAAGTAGAACAAATTATAGAAAATTTTGAAATTCACCAATTACATTACGATATATGAGAAAATCATATTTCAAACGGCTATAACTCAAAACTTGTAAATTTTCGTTAAATTGCTTTTCATATACCTCGCATTATCTCAGTAACTATAACAATTATCAAAAAAATACTCGAAATAATGTCGATGCGCCTATGTTTCAAGATGCGAATGGTTCTTCGATTTTGAAAATCGAAGCATAAATAAGGAAGATATTGGGAAAATCATAATCCAATGCAGGTAGTACGAAGGACGGCGACTCGCCGCTTTCATACCCCGATTCTCCCCGCAACGCCCGCAGTCGTCATAGTACAATCACCGTAAATATTAAATACTGAGTGTTACAATAGTAAGATCTTGGAATTCACGGGAGAAATGGAATTGATCGCTATTTTCCAAGTTAACAGAAATTTATTTTAACTTGCTGTTTGATCGGAAGTGCCCTCCATTTATTTTATGAATGATTCTATCTCGAAAGTACATTTATTATCCATCAGAGTAAAATGTCAACCATCTCATTTATTAACAAATTGACAAATATTGAAACAAAACATGATGCATATAATATTGAAATAGAAATGAGATATCCTTGTGGCAACTTGGAAAAAACATTATTTGATACCTATCGAATTGCGAAGTTGTAAATACACGTAAATACGATACAGTGTCCACAAGAACACAAAGCTACGATAATTTTTTTCCATCATGTCTCTTGATGAATCATTATTCCCAAACCAACGTGTTTCGGTGTGAGTTTTTTGAATTTCGAATTAGCGAGTATTATACCTTGACATCAGATACTGAACACATTTGAATCAACTGAATAAACTTTATCGTGTATATAAGGCAACAAATTAAAAAAAAAATTTTTTGGTATCATATCCTTGTAAGCCTTGACATCCATATTTTTGAGTTGTTTATAATCTGGAATATCTCTCATATCTTGATAAATATCTCAAAAAAATTTCAATTTGTGTATCTGGGTCATATCTATTCTGATGCATATACAAAGTCAGGGGAATTATCTTCTGTAATTTCACTTTGTTCGCTTCATATGTGTATGAATCAGATGAGTTCTTGTCACTTTTGGAATCACAAATTACGACTCATTAAAACGTTTTGATTCATTTGATAATTTCTATTTCCTTGTCGTAGTGCTTTCTGACTTCTTCGATAAATTCATTTTACTTGATTTTTCTAGATTTTCTCTCCTCGTTCCTCTGGACGTTTCGGGAACGAATCTGCTCCCGTTCCCAACATAAAAATGCAAAACATTTTTCTTCGGAAGTTGCATTTTCATGTTGATAACGGGAGCAGATTCGTTGCCGAACCGTCCAAAGAAACGAGGAGAGAAAATCCCAAAAAATCAAGTAAAATGAATGTTTCACCTTTCTCGATTAACCTACAGAC